CTGTTCCCCTGCTGGTCCCTGCTGGAGCTTGGAAGGGCAAAGGAGCATGGGATGAAAACTAATGAGGCTGAAAGTTAGCCAGGCTTTTGCAAACATCAACAAACTCTGGAGCTGGGGGAAGGTTCAGAGCAGCTATTGCTGCCTTTCCATTAGTTCAGCAGCCCGTGTTAAAACCAGGGAACATGAGAGAGTCTGTACTAAACCTTCGGGGAAACCTAGCCAGCCCATGTCTGCATTACGGGTTCGGCAGCGACATAACGCTGTATCCCCGCGGCGCAGACGGCAGCGACAGAAGGGGTTTCTCCATCCCGCCTTCCCCATCAAAGGCACCATTCTTCCGCCGCCCTGGCTGCATCTACGGAGCTCCAGGGTGTGGGTTTTTCACACCCCTCCCTGACATAGTCACCCTGATATCACGTCTCTGTGGAGACCAGGCCTGGGATGCATTAGAAGAGCTGGGGAGGAAAGGAAGATCAGGCCCTGCTCAGAGAGTTTCAGGCCCGAAGGAACCATCCTGATCATCTCTGACCTCCTGCACGGCACAGGCTGCAGAACCGAGTCGCCCACCGGCTCCTACAGCAGGCCCAGCGCCTCTGGCTGAGTCACTGAAACCCTCAGATTTGACTGCAAGACTCCAAGTTACAGAGCAGCCACCGCTGACTCTAGTTCAGCCCAGCAAGTGTCCTGTGCCCCACGCGGCAGGGGATCCGCGGGGCTGGGGGGGGCTGCAGCTCTGGATCAGGGTGCAGCAGCAGAGCTGTGGAGAGCTGGGGGGTGGGGAGCATGAAGCAGGCCCCTGAGCTCCCTCACTCCCATAGGCACCAAATGAAATCCATCTCCCCCCCCCACACACACACACACCATTCCAGCACCTCCAGTCCCCTGGCGCCCACGGGGAGCTCACACAAGCCTTCTCCAGCATTAACCAAGCTCCAAGCAATGCTCGGTATTTTCTCCAAGAGCCCTGCTGGTTTTTTGCTCCTTTTCCAGCCCAGAGAGGCTGCGCTTCCTTTTAAGGCGAAGGAGCTGCCGGCAGGACTCTCCGAGGATAGACAGAGCTGAGCCGGCAGACCCGGGCCCAGCCGTAACCCTTCCCTCCCCGGGACGCTGAGTGGGAGATCTCGCCTGCCTTCCTCCCAGCAGGGGACGACTGCCCCTCTGGGGGGCATTGGATGTCCGGTGCCCCTGCAACCCTGCTGCCAGGCTCCCGCCGCTGGGTGCACGGGGCTGCCTGGCCAGTCTGGGCAGGCGCCGCTGGGCAGATGGAGGCAGGTGTTCCACTGGGGTGTGGATAGCGACATCCTCGCCGCCACCCCACAGAGGAGAGAGAGTGGGAACACAGCCGGGGTGGGGGAGAGGAGATATCCCCCCTGCCTCCCCACAGCCAGCTGCCCAGAACCAATGGAGAGCTGTGTGCCCCTCATCCTGCCCCCCGGCTCAATGGAGCTCTCAGCAACCAGGCGGAGGGAGGGGACACTTTATAACCTGCTAGAAACCATCAGCGGTTTGAAGAGTAACCGGCCACCCCCCCCCAGGGATCGCAGGAGACGCCCCTCCCTGCCCCGAGGCCCCAGGCAGCAGAGCTGTGAGGGCTGAGAAGCATTTCTGCTCCCGGAAGGGCTGCCGGCAGGGTGGCAGCATCTGTGCCGGGCGACAGGGGCACAGGGCGGAATGTGACTGCCCACGCCCCGGGCCGCTCCTCTCCCCTGGTCCTGGGGTACATGAATTCGCCCCACCCCAGCTCATCAGCAACTGGCTGCTCCGCTGCACTCGCTAGCACTGAGAGCAGCAGCCAGGACTCCGGGGTTCCATTCCTGGCTCCGACACTGACGTGCTGTGCAAGCTGCCCTCCCGGAGCCTCAGTTTCCTGCCTGAAATGGAGATAAGACTCTGGGGAGGAGGGGATCACTTCACTGATGACCCTTTTATTAAGCGATTTCAGATCCTTGCACGGATGGGACGATAGAAAAGCAAGACAGTCACATCCAATTAACCCTTCCCACCCCACTCCCGCCGAACGCCCCAGCCACGTCCCGACAGTCCACGTGGGTCTAGGTGGGCCCACAGCCCAGCTGGGAGGGAAGCACATCACTGTTCAGGGTGGAAAGGGCTCACCCGAAACAGGAACAACCATGATAGCCTCCCCTGGGGCCAGGGGTCGCAGGCTCCTCTCTCAGGCCCAACATTCCTTGTGTGTGTTATAACCCCGGGGGATCTTCCCTCCCCTCTGCCTGGCGATCGCGCCGCTGCCTTGTGCCCATGAGGCAATGGAAAAAGCCAGAGTTCAAATTCCACGGCCTCCCAGATGCTTTCCAAGCCCTTCGCTCCCCCCTCCTTGCTGTTTGGTCTCCGCACACACAGTGGTGCCCGGGCTGCTGGAGCATCTTGTTATTAACCCCTGGGGAGAGGATCTCGCCCCGCTGCAATCCACAGGGTGGATCCCAGCCCGGGGAACTGCTCCGGGTGCAGACACTGCATCGCTCTCAGGAACTAAATCAAGGAGCAGAGCAGGCCCTGTTAAAAATGGGGGGGAGGAGGGGTCGTGTGTAAGGTGCCCAGTAGTCCCGTGGCAGGAAGTAAACAGAGGTTTCACAGACGTTCACACCACCTCTACCTCCTAGCCTCTAGGCCGCTCTGGGGGCTGGAGCGGCCCCTTGTGTAAGTTAGAGCAGCCCCTTACGGCAACCATACCAGGTCACCAGTGGCCCTTCCTATCTGCCCTAGCATGCTGCTGTGCTGGAGGCTGGGAGGGGGAGCCGCAGGGGGCTCCTTATGGCTGGAGAGAGACCTAATGGCCTCTAACTCTGGGCGAATGCAGGGCTGGATCTGCCTGGGGGGTCTAGTAGGACAGGGGAGAGATAACTGAGTGGGAGTAGCTGGGGGTCACACAAGATGCAGATGCATCTGGAGTAAGAGCTGAAAGGGGAATTGCTTATTAAGTCCGACGTGGGGTCAGGACTGGGAATATTTTGGCAGGAGGAGCGTTCAGCCCCCAAAGGCCCAGCCCTGCTGGAAGACACTTCCCCTTCTGCAGGAAAGGCGGCTGGTTAATCTTGGGAATGTTGAGCCCTTATTGAATCCCCCGCCCTGGGCAGGGTCTGACCCCTGCGGCCCCAGGAGCTTGGGAACTGGTCAGGGAAGAGTTTGCTTCAACACTGAGTGCATCCCACCCCCGCATTCCTGCTGGTAAAACACCAGCGAGAGTTGGCTCCTGAGACAGCAAATTGTGGCTGGGGAGCGGGGGGGATTTCCAGAGATGCTCTGCTGTGATTGTCATACACTCTGTATCCTCCCAACTCAATGCTGGGCTGCATGGTCTCAGACAGGTGCTGGTCTCGCGGGTGAGCTTCCTACCAGCTGATACAAGGTGCTGCACTAACGTCCGTATAAATCAGTGGAGTCCCTCCGGATTCACACCAGTGTAACTGAGACAAGCATCCAGCCCATTATGAGCATGCAGGGATATCCCTGATCTACAGTAAGGCTCAATTGGTGTATTTAGCTCTGATGCTTTTATGCCTTCGTTTTCTGTATCCTGCACCTTTAAATCTATAGGGCTCCTGCTCTCTGTAGAGGTGGGCAGCCATTTTGTGCTCAGTTCAGTACAGACTGTTAGGCGACACATGCGCGCACACACTGCGCTCTCTCATAGGCCTGGTCTACACTACGACTTTAATTCGGATTTAGCTGCGTTAATCCGAATTAACCCTTCACCCGTCCACACTACAGAGCCAGTTAATTCGAATTAAAGGGCACTTAAAATCGATTTCTGTACTCCACCTCGACGAGCGGAGTAGAGCCTAAATCGATTTTGTTAATTCGAATTAGGGTTAGTGTGGCCGCACACCACTGAATTACTGTGGTTAAATTAATGGGGTAGTGTGGCCGCACACCACCGAATTAATGTGGTTAAAAACCGAATTAATGTGCTTAGTGTGGCCGCGCACAATCGAATTTATACAACCTGTTTCCCAAACTCGAATTATCTAAATTCGGATTAATCCCGTAGTGTAGACATACCCATAGAGACTTCTTTTGTTCTCCGTTGTTCTCCTTATCTAAAATAAATCCCATTCACACCTAAATCATCTGTTTGCTCTTTGCACATGGAGAGGCATAACAGCCCAATCTGTCTTTCCCATCTCGATTTCTAGGATTCCAGAGATACTTTGGAAAGGGCTGTAAAGACTGGAATCAGCTCTCAGCATGCCGCTGAGAAAGGAGGTTCATTCGTGATGCAACCGTAGCCAGCGTTCATAAAGGGAGGCAAACCATTGCCTGTGCTGGGGCTGCAGCCTGGGGGGTTTGACTAGATCACCTCTTGAGGTCCCTTCCAGACCTACATTTCTAAGCCACAGCGGGGTTATCAGGGCAGAATTTGGTCTTGGTGACACCTCTGCAGGAAACAGTGATGAACCCCAAACTGACCCAATCTGGGATTTCATCACCAATTTAATACTGGGCAAGTCGAAGGATTCGCTGTGGGTCATTAAACATGCAGGCCCAGTTTCCAGAAACCCCACGGCTGCGTTATGGCTCTGCCGTGGAAATTCTGGGCAGCCCGTGCCGTTCCATTGCAGGCCAGGGAAAAGCTGGCAGTTCCCAAGGAGACTGGCACCCAAATCTCAGCGCCAGCCAAACCCCCGTGGATTGGCATCAGAGAACGCTGGAATCTGTGACAGGTCATGCCTCTGGCCCCACTCTCCTGCCAGTGCAGATGGCCCCTACAACACATTTTTCTGATGCTCTGTGCAGTCTCATTTTACAAGCGATGGGTCTCCCGCTGAGCACACTGGGAGCCTTGTGAGATCTCTCTGGCAGGGGACGAGGCGGAAATCTTGGGGACGGGGTTCCGCTAAGGAAAAATACATTTTGAATGGTTTAAAGAGAAACCTGAGTCATCTGACTTAGCTGATGGCAAACAGCTCATTAGCAGCTCGGGAAATAATTAGCAACGCCTGGCGTCAGCAAGACCCCTGATCAGAAGCCAATGCACTCACCAGAGGTTGCAGTTTTCTCTGTAGGTGGCTCCGGTTGGGTACTTGTGTCCACCACGATCACAACCTGGACAGGAGAGAGGTGAAGAACAGACCACGGTGAGGAACTGTTCTACAGGGGTACACGTGAGACTAGTTAGATCACTGCTACCACAAAGCAACTCCCCATACAGTCTGTGGGAATCTTTCCATTGACTTCAAAGGAGCAGCACCAAGACCATAAGCCATACCACCAGCCCACGCGGAATAAGGAGCCGTGGTCACAAAGAGACCAAGTGAGTCGCCCAGGGTCACACAGGGAGTCTGTGGCAGAGCAGGGAACTGATCCCAAGTGAGCACCCGAACCCCTGGCCCACCCGTCCAAACTAATCCCCCTGCCCATTTAGAACGGTTTGGGGTCTGCCTTGGAAATATTCTGCACCCCTCTGTATCACAGCCAATCTCAGACAGGTTTTCCAGGCCTACCTGAGCTGTACCAGAGGGCACAGCTCTTGCGTCTCAGGACATGAAAGGGTTTAATTCTGACTCATGGGAGGAGGAGCCGGGTCCTTCCAACTATCCCGGGGGCCAGTAGGCTGTGCAGTTATGCAGCTGCTGCTGGAACTGAACTGAACTGCCCTGCCGGCCTTTAACTCACTCCTCCCCTTGCTGGCTCCCAGCCAGGAGGTGTGCAAAGGCAGCTGGACAAAGTGCAATTGGAGACGGGGGGGTGGGGGTGACTTATCACCCTCTGATTTATTGGTTCGTGGTGCAGGGGAGGCTGTTTGTGCGGTTTTGGGTTCGGTGCCAGAAAAGCGAAGCGTGTCCCAGGTGTGATTCATGCCCTGCACCCTCTGATGTAAACGCGCCCAGGCTTTCCTCATTGCTCCACACAGCTCAGTCACCGGGGGGGGGGGGGGGGGGGGCTTTGCTCTCAGCTGCACAGGTGTAAATCCAGAACAGTTCCTGATTCCCACCGGCGTAACAGATCAGAACCTGCCCCCTGGCTTAGGGGCCAGCTCCCCACATTCCCAGCATGGGACCCTCATGTCCCAGCGTGGCCGCCACAGAGCGCCCTCTCGGGCCAACCCCTCCGCGACTCCAAAAAGGGTGCACACCGGCCCCCTAATTGGGATGGAGTAAAGAGCACCTGGTGGTTTGTGCCACAACCGTGGGACCCTGCGGTGGGGAGGGCAGGAGTCATTCCCAGAGAGCGGCGTTCACAGGGTGAGATCATGCGACAGACTCGCCCACGTCCCTGTGGATTGGAAACATTTCCGATAAAGGCCCCAGTTACAAAAGCTTTATTCATCTTTATACGCCGGCTGGTTCCTCAATGGCTTCTTAGAAAGAGTTTTGTGACACGCATCAGAGGGAGGGACACGCAGCCCAGCGGATGCAGTCTCCCCAGCAAGATATGTCAGGGTTAACATGACAGTGAAACATACGCGGCTCTGAGGACCATGATCTTGACTGATCAGGTTCTGATCTCAGTGACAGCAGCATCAACGCAAGGCCCTGAGCACCGGACAATGAAAGGTCCCATTTTCAAGTGTAGGGATGTTACGCATGGAACTGGCCAAATTCCAGCCCAGCTCCTTATCCTGGAATTCCCCTGGCAGGGTCAAAGCAGACACCATCGTCTCGTTCACTCCCCCATCCCAGCTGGCCGGGCAGCGTTGCTAGGCGATAGCTGCCACATTTCAGCCCCGGGCAAAGGGACCCATTTATCTACCTAGGGTCAGATTCTGTGTCCAGTTGCACCAGGCGATGTTCTGGAGTGAGTCCGCTGAAGGCAAAGGCGTTATCTGGATTTGCTCTGGCGTAACGGCGCACAGAATACAGCCCACAAGCTGTCCTGCGCTGCGGGGCCTTCAGACGAAGGGTGCTAAGGAACGGTCAATAACTAATGTGGGCCAGATTCTCCACTGGTGGAAGTCACCCGGGCGCCAGTGCATTTACACTGATTTACACCAGCTGAGGCTCTGACTATGTTCCTAGAAATGGAACTGGAATGTACTGGGCCAAATTCTGCTCTCAGTTACCCCCCAGGGTAAAGTCAGACTGGGCATTAGGAAGCCAAACCTCCATTGTCTCCAGTGGCATTTACATCTCTTATGCCAGGACTGGGTTTGCCCAGAATCCGAGGTCTCTCTTCCCGGCCCATGAGTTTTCCAGCGCCTGGCACCTCTGGGGTTACGACTCTTCGCTCAAGAGGCGGGCAGAGCTCTAGGAAAGGCTGCTGGCAGCCCCCCCCCCCCCCCCCCCCCCGCACCCCGGGGCCAGAGAAAAGCTGCTATGACGCGTGTGAAGTGCACACATTCCCAGCCGCTGTTGGGCTGAGCTCTCGCAGCTGCCAAGGAAATGATCACATCTTAAGTAGGATCTGCGATAAGGGAGAGACCGAGACCGATGACTGGCAACGTCCCCTGGGAAGGCTCCAAAGGCAGCCCGGTGCCGAGCAGACCAGCAGGGGGCGCAGGGAGACGCCTCCCCGTGTCTGGGGGTTTGACCCTGGGGTGATCCCCTTATGGATGGGGACAGGGGGATGGCTGCTGGACAGCAGCCAAGTGGGCAGGAGAGGGAACAGAGGCCCTGTTGAGTGGAATTGCTGTTGACTCCACAGGAGAATAGAAGGGCGGGGGTCATTAAGGGCCAGGAAACACTGAGATTGCAGGTTCAACTCCTGCAGCAGGTGGGACCACACGTTATCCCCGTTCGATAGATGTCTGGGTGGCGAGGGTGGGTCCCAGCCTAGTTTGACCTACACAAACTCCACCAGAACGATTGGTCTGTCATTGGCAGCCTCGGTGGAGAAGCCAAGCGCTGAACAGGCCCTGGGGACTGAGCTATGGGGGTCGCTCTGGGGCAGGCGGATGGGTGGGAGCTGTGTGGATGTGAGGGATGGTGCTTGCATTGCTGCTGACCCCATGGGGATACCCAGAGGCCCTGGGCCAGGCCAGAGCGAGCTGCTGGAGGGGGTCTGCCCCACCTACCTTTGTGCACAGGCACGGGGGGTGGGATGCCCAGGCAGTACTCCCAGAAGTCAGGGCAGCAGTCGGAGACAGTGCGGTTGCAGAAAAGGTCGCAGTAGCAGATGGTATCCAGGTAAGGCACGGTGCAGGCGTCGTCCCTGCCGGCGCAGCAGGCATCGCTCCTCTCACAGTACGAGCCGCCGGCGTCACGGATCCCCCGCTCGTGCAAGCCCGGTGCCAGCTCTCTGCGGGTCCGGGCCCCGTGGGCAGAGAGATCCTCTGCTGCCAACAGCCAGAGGGTCGGGAGAGTCCACAGCAGCCTCATCTCTGGGCCGACGTCCCCGGAGCTGCAGGGGCCAGGCAGGGAGAGAGAAGGATGGGACGTGAGGAAGGCAGGGTCCGGAGTGGACACGGGCACCTCCTGGCCCACAGCCTCGTTCCTAGGGCTGGGCTAAGAGCTCAGAGGGGGACATGAACCCTGAGGGACACTAGCGTCGCCATGATCTCACCTCGGGCCCCAGGCCACTGGCAGGTGCGTGGCAGCAGGGCTTCCGAACACAGGCAAGTGGGACTTGCCATGGGGGCTAGTGAATTGGTGGCTGCCAGGAGACCCTGGAACGGAGCTTTCCCAGCTTTGCCCAGCCCGAGGATGAGATGCAACCAGCCCGAGGACACCCAGGCCACACCGCCACCTGCACCAGTGCTTGCTTTGGGTCATCAGCACGGCATGGGCCACAGCGCCGCCATGAGACGTCCTCCTTTAGGGAAGCCACTCAGGTGGCCAGCAGAGGCTCTCCAGATAAGCCCCACTGCAGCCTCATAAAATGCGACGTGCGGCTAGCCCCAGTGGATGCACGAGTAGGGGGGACAAGGGAGCTAACGCAGCGATCTCCCCTCCAGGGGAGCTGTCAGCTAGTTCCACTCTCCAGGAACGATCCCCCATAATCCCTCGCCAGACTTGCATGCACAGCTCTGCAGGAGACACCATGCATCCTCTGCGCCCCTGTGCAGGACAGCGTGAAACACCGACCAGCCAGTCACCCAGCTAGCAAAAGGGACTCTGCTCTGGAAACTCACGAGCAAGGGCATCGCCCAGAGGGAGAGGGGGAGATTTAATGAATGGCTCTGTCCTAAGTGCTGTGGGCAGAGGACAGATTCCTTTCCCTTTTGTGTTTCTTGCCATGGAAGCCACCCCAGAACGTGGTTGATTCATCAGAGCTACTGATGCAGAGCTTGGGAGCTATCACCCAGAGCCACAAAGGTATTTAGGCACCATCTGGGAGTTAAGTGCCCAAATACCTTTCAGGGTCTGGCCCTAAGAGACCAGAGGGAGATGCAAGTCGGGGGTGTTCCCTTCCCAAGCAGATTGACAGCTGTCAGTCACATAGCATCACACCTGGCTGGGAAAAGGCGGGAGCTGGGGTGCTGGTTGTTTGCAAGGTGTGGGGAGAAATGATCTGTTTGTTGCTTCCCAAATCTTTACCAGGATAAAGGTACAAAATACCTGGGTTCCCTGCACATCAGATAACCAAGGTGAGGGCTCCCAGCGGGTTAGATAGGATCAAGGCTGCAGGTTATGTAGGATCAAAGCCCAGGCTAGCAGGGAGCTTGATAAAATTGGGCCCCAAGCTCCCAGCAGCTTAGACAGCAGAAGCCAGCTGTAAGCTCTGTGCACGCTTAATATAAGACCAGGCTTTGGCTGCTAGTGTTGCCATCTCTCCTGATTCTGTTGCAAGCCTCGGGATCTTTGCTATTTTACCTTAAAGCCCCAGCTCCTGGAGTCAGGTGATTCCCCGAGAATCTCAGCTTCCGTTTAAAAAACTAAGTAAGTTTCTAGCCCTGCTGGTTGCAGAGAGAAACTGGAAAATGGGACCCCTGAGTGCTCCCCCACCAGGAGAAGCAGCTGATCTTTATTCTTCATTAAATCCCATGATTGCACAGGGCCTGGCTTATGAGGAGGTGATACCAGCTTTGCCTTCAGCATCAGGTCAGCCGCGGTGCAATGCTGCTCCCAGACTAGCCCGGGCAGCGAGAAGCTGCCAGGAACGTATCGGAGCATGTTCCTGTTTAATCCCCTCAGACTCGAGAAAGAAAGCAAGAACATGCCAGTGCAGCCAACACGGCCTTCGTCTCCAGCGCCGAGCAGGCAAGGGCAGCCTCCGAAAGAGGGTGGGAGCAGCATGGCGGGCCACAGCCTATGAGGCACTCCATGGCTGGGCCAGGCTGTGTGTCTGCACCGCACACACTGCCTCAGCATTGCTGTTACCAGGATATAGGGTGAGGCGGGGAGGGGCCCTGTCTGATCGCAGCTTGGTGAGCTCCATGCAGCAGCTCAAATGCACTCGGGGGTTTCAGTTCTAAAGGGAGGGGGCTGCCGGGCATGCGGCTGTGCATGTCCTCCCCTGACTCCACCCCCATCATGCACCGGCCTGCGGTACATGGACCAAGTCTTTCTCGCACGCTCCTCTGCAGCGACACAGGCTCAGAGCAGAATCAGGCCCTACATGCCAATGCCGGGGGGAGTCTGGTCCGCTGTGTGGCAATCATGTGGGGCCGGAGGGGCCCAATCCTGCATCTGGAATCCCCTCTCCCCGGGAATCATCCAGCGCTCCTGCTCTGGTAGCCTGCCTGCACTGGGGCGTTTTGCACCAATGTAACCTCGGGGCCCGATCCTCCCACGCACAGCACCTAGTGCAGAGTGGGTGGGAATCGACACCCCCGTGAGGGGCAGCATCTCACGCTCACTCCGCACCGCTGGAAGTGACAGCACAAGGGACTGGGCGATGGAGACACAGGTCTCCAGCTGCTGCACTGGGGTAAAGGCTGAGACGTGCCCAGCGCAAGCCTCTTTTCACGCGGCAGTACCTCATCTACACTAGGGCTTTGCATGGGCATCGCTGCACCATTGCAGCCCCTGCCCGCAGTGACCCAGTTATAACTGCATGAACCCAGGCGTCGACACAAGAATTGGCACTGGTTTAGTTACATGGCTGCGAGCCCCTGGGGGGGATGTTCTGAATCTGGTTTAAGAGCAGCTTATTCCTGGCCATCTCTGGGACTTAGCTGGCCCCCATCACTCTCGTCTCTGAGCTCCTCACAGTCTTTAATGGATTTATCCCAACTCCCTGTGAGGCAGGGCAGTGGGGAAACTGAGGCACAAAGCGACTAAGTGATTTGCCCAAGGACACCTACGGGGTCTGTGGCAGAGCAGGGACTTGAACCCAGGTCTCTTACAGCCTAGCCTCTTGCCCTAACC